GCATTGGCAATAGAGTGCAGCTCCCCCCTCGTAGGGCTCAGGTGATGGTAGCACACGATGTCCATCAGAAAGGAGGTCTCCGTAAGCAGGGGTCTGATGCGGCGGCCGGCAACGACCCGCCACTTGTTGCCGCCGCCCAGCGGCACACACGACACGACCTCTCGGTTCCTGCCCAGCAGCAGCTGCGCGCTCTTCTTGTTGGCGGGCACCGGCCACTGCGCGCGGATGTCGGCCACGAGGAACTCCATCTCACCGGGGGTGCCGCTGGGCTGGTTAGGGTGGTGCACTCGGGGAGGCGCGAATTTCTGGTGAGTGGGTGGCATTGCATTGCACGAGAGAGAGAGCAAGAGAAGACAGACCAGAATGTGCGTCACGGCGTTGACTGACTGACCTTCTTGATGGTCGAGTCGACTCCATCGCACCCCACAAGGAACACGCCGGTGAAGGCGCATTTCTTGGCGTTGAACTTGTTGCGGAAGATGTCGCGGGTGCCTTTGGGCTGTGAGGGGTCGGGTGGGGGTCGCGGCCGGACGTTGACGGTGATGGTCTCGTCGGGATGCTCCCCGATGTGGATGCTGTCGATCTCGACGTTGCGCTTGATGCACTGCTGGTAGCCCAGACGATTGATGCGGTCGATCAGAATGCGCTCCACTAAGGACTGGTCAACCACCTGCAATACACACAATGTCAACACACACACACACACACACAGATACAGCGAAAGGGGGGGTGGGGGATGGCGTGTGACCACTTTCTTGTGTGTTGTTTGTGTGTTGGTGTGCTCTGCTCACCACAGGCTCTGCGTGTTGGGAAGTGGATCCCTTGAAGGTGCGCTCCGTCACCACTTTGCCGTTGGCGACCAGCCGCTCTGCCGTCAGCATATGGCTGCACGCCAGCACCTGATCCACCATGCCAATACCTGTACTCAACCAAACAGACAGCGCACACAACACCAACAAAGCACAGACACAGAGAGAAAGCTTTGAGTGTCCGCCGTCTCTGCCCGTCCGTCCACTGTCGTACGTTCGAGTGTGTCGAGCGTGGCGCTGTGCAGACATATGGTTCTCCCAAACATCTCAGCACAGTCGGGATTGCCCTTGTGCGGCCCGGACGACTTGTCGAGCAGCACAAAGCTGACGCCTCTCCTCGCCAGCTCCAAAGCCAGCACAAGGCCACTGCAGGAGCCGCCGACGATGATGACATCTGTGGCGGTCAGGGTGGGCAGATCAGGCACGCCGTCTGCCGCCGGCATTCTCGGCCGCTCAGGATAGAAGGAGCTCGGCAGCTTTGCGTCACTGCCCAGTCAGTCACCGCGCCAGATCCGTGATCAGTCTGGCGGTTTCACGCACACCCTAGCAGATATGCTCTGCCAGCTTAGCCTCCGACTCGGCGAAGAATGGCATCATTTTTCGTCCACGGAAGGCAGATTTGCCTTCTCCATTCCCCCCAGCACTTCCTGCTAACGCTGCGTCACCTCTTCCAGACCGTCAAGGAGCGGGCAGTCATCTCGGCCCTCTATGTCGGCACGGGAGACCCGGAGTCGGCCGTCATCCGAGATCTGCTCTCGGCATGCAAGGCGCGCGGCAGGGCATTGCAAGTGGACGTCCTGCTCGACTGCCTCAGGGGCACACGCAAGGACAAGACCACCGAGGCGTCGTCCGTCAACAGGCTGCTGCCCGTGTTGTGGAGCGGGCAGACCAGGGCCCGTGTGGCGCTCTTCCACACGCCGCTTCTCTCGGGGCCTCTGAAGCGAGTGCTGCCCGCGCGCATCAACGAGGTGCTTGGCACGCTGCACGTCAAGGTGTTCATTGCGGACGACACGGCGGTGCTCACGGGAGCCAATCTCAGCACCTCTTACCTCACCGACAGGCAGGACAGGTACGTCGTCATCCGCGACGCGTCGGTGGCCGACTACCTGCACCAGATCGTGAGCAGCGTATCGGCGTGCAGCTATCAGCTCGAGGACAACGGCGACCTGCTGCTGCCCTCGTCTGTTCCCGACCCATCCCAGCGGCCAGATGACTTCGCGGCCTATCTCGGCGAGCGGCTGCAGCCGTATCAAGCAGTTTCCACGACAGGAGGAAGACATGGCCTGCCTCACTGGCGGACAGAGGATATACCGCCCCATTGCAGGAGGGCAGACCTCACTGGGCCGAAGACAGCTGCATTGCAGTCGTCCCTCGCCCGTGTGTCGTTTCGGCTGCAAGCTGGCTTCATCTCGCCACCCATCATGGACGAGCTCACGCTTCTGGAGGAGGTCCTCGCCAACGCCGCTGAGAGCGGGCAGCGAGTGGTGCTGGCGTCGGGCTACCTCAACCCCCCGACGCAGCTACGGGAGGCCCTGCAGAAGTTCGCTGCGACGAGGGCAGAGAAGGGGAGGGAGGGAGAGGGGGGGAAGAGCAGTTCATCTGCTACTGCTGCTCTCAGCTTGGTGACGGCGGCGCCTGAGGCCAACAGCTTCCACAACTCTCGGGGTCTGTCGTTCTGGATCCCGGCAGCCTACGCATCAGCGGGCGCCGACCTTCTGGCGTCGCTTCCCGCAGGCAGTGTGACGATGCGGGAGTACTGCCGGCCTGGGTGGACGTTCCACTCGAAGGGCATCTGGCTGTATCCCCCAGACAGCGACAAGACCTTCCCCCGGTCGTCTGACCGGCTGCCGTGGGCCACTGTGTGCGGCAGCAGCAACTTCAGCCAGCGGTCGTCGTTTCGCGACCTGGAGCTGTCGTGCTTCATTGAGACGGGCGAAGAGGAGCTCAGGAAGGACATGGGCAAGGAGGTGGAGGCCCTGATGGGTGGTGATGGTGATAGTGATAGTGGTGGGTTTAGTCGGGGTGTGGGCGTGCGGGAGATGAGGGGGAGGTGCCCTGGGTGGCTGAGGTGGCTGGTTGCCAAGAGCAGGGTCGGGACGCTGCTGTGAGCACAGCACGTGACGGCGGATGGACAAACGTGTCCTGTGCGTGTGTGTTTATGTAATGGGACGTTTGTGCAATATATACGCCTGACGCACGTAAACCCTACGGGTGTCTGTCTGTCCAGAACAAACTGTTTGTCCTGACGTATGGACTCACTCGTACAAACCGATCAATGACAGACACCACACAACACAACACGAGAAAAAACTGACTGACTACGTCCCAACCAAAAATAGTCTGACGTACACTCACTCAGCTGGCAATGGTCTGTCTCGCTGTACTGTGACTAATACGCTCTACATAGCGGCATTCGCGTTAGCTTATTCTGTGCCTTTCCAGTGGAGCCGTGCCAGCACTGCAGTGCCCTTGGCCAGCTGATCGTAGGCCTCTTTAGCACGAGAGGCGGGGAAGGTCTGCACGGGCAGGAAGGAGCAGGTCGACGGCGACAGCTCGGCCAGGACACGCAGCGCTTCGTCGAGCCGACGATCCTTTGTCCACCGCCCACGCAGCGATGGCGGGATCTCGCTCACCTGGGAAAACTGCACACAACACAACACACGCAATCAACGAATGCCATGCACGCACCAACCGTATGTATCGTCTGGTCTGGTTGTTGTTGGTGTGCCCTGCCCGTGCTTCCACACCGACCTTGATTTGTATGTGCGATCGGTGCAGCCGCAGCGAGCCGAGGTCCAGCTCAGCAAAGCCGGCGAAGCCCTTGGAGTACCACGACCCCACCACCACCCGCCCGTTGTTGCGCGTCACCCTCAGCGCAGCGTCCAGCGCTGTCGGCCGCCCACTCACCTCTATCACACAGTCGAAGGGGCTGGGTGGGTCGTGGGCAGAAGAAGGGGCCAGCACCGCAGACGCACCGGCCTCTCTCGCGAGACGGCGCCTTTGCTCGGAGGGGTCGATGGCCGTCACGTGCCAGCGTTGGCGAGCCAGCAGATAGGTCACCAGCAGGCCTATCAGGCCCTGGCCAAACACCGCCACCTGCTCACCTGCAAGACATCCACACACACACCCATATAGATGCC